AGGGCCTCGGGAAAACAAAAACGCATTTTCGCAAATATTTCGCCGAACAATTCCCAGAATTTGTTTTCCACCGGAGTTTGTCGTCTACTTCAAAAAGACTGCCTGAGGTTGGGAAAGTGTTTTAAAAGCCACCGAACAACCGCCCGCCTGCTTGACGTCCCGGTAAATAGTAAAAAGGGAAGCTTTGGAAAATCGAAGGCCTACGCTCGTCCTCGCTTGTCTAACTTCAAGAAAAGTTCACGTCTGAAGAAAAGATTCATAGTTTTGTGTATAGGTCGTCCATAAGAAAGTAAGACGATATCCATTATCTACATGTTGAAAATTGGGTGGAGAGAGAGACTACATAGCTATACCTAATAATACACACAAACCCACCATGTATTAATTTTTCGTGTTAAATTTGTATAATTAGAAGTGACTCTTTTTATGCTGTTTATTCGTTTCTGTCCACCCCTCCAATTTGGCGTTTGTGAGCCGTTGAATTTCGCCTTTTTTGGCCCCCCTACGCGCCACTTGGACTCTCCCTTTCTCAGAGCGGATGCACAAGGTTCTTTGATCTTCCTGCTGGAAAAAAAAGTATTTTCCGGACTTTTGTTAGTTGAGATTGCCTCATTTAGCGAGGGGGCCAGGAATTACAGCCGTGATCCCCTTGAATAGACTCTTGATAGTGAAAATTGCCCTTAACTGGGAAAGGGTTAATTAAGGATTTTTTTTTCGCTTTTGTTTTTGTTTGTAGGATTCGCGGGATGAAAAATTTGCATGAAGCCGGTGAAAACTTTCTTTTCTGACGCCGTCGTGCCTTTTCAAACCTCATGCCAAACAGTGTTCAAAGGAATGCCTCTGAAATCTCTCGAAAAACAAAATAATACTCCTTTCATCGCGTTTCGGATCGCCGGGGCGTAAACCAAAACACCCGTGTAAACACGGCGAACCCTTTTCTCCCAAAAGCCCCGTACAATATTCACAAAGGGGTCGGGACTTAATGCTTGACGGACTTTCCGTTTGCGCCAAGATGGCCAATTTTACGCAGTTGGAATTTATAAAAGAACGCCTTCGAACGTTTACTCGGAAATGGGTTCAATTGATCAAAAATAGGACGTCTATTGACTAAATTAGTTCACAGAAACATCCCCGAGAAAAAGCTACATTTGACTGGAAGTCACTTCATTTATGACTTTTACAGATTGTTTCAATTCTATAATTTACTTGATTCAATGTTGAATAACGTGCAGTGTATATTTTGCCTTGTTTTTGACTTGAAATCAAAATTAATCAACCCTTTCTTTCTTTTGTCTGTTTCCCTTTTCTATTTTTCCCCTGTCTCTCTCTATTTTTTGTTCTTTTGTATGACACTCAATTGCTTTCTTATTCTTTCTCGCTGTTTTTTTCTTTCACTGTTTAAATGTCTTTCGTTCTTTATTTTGTCCTTCATCTTAAGCACAATTACAATCTTGGTTTATCTGTTTGTATTTTGTTTTCTCGTTTCCTTTCATTTATACATCGCTTTCCTCTCCGGTGAAGTGAGCTACTACGTTTTTGTGATTTCTCAAATTACCGGTGCTTGGTTCGGAATGCCGGACATACGTGTAGGTACAGATTCGGATTAATTCAATCATTTAATTTTTTTTAAATAAATTATTTTAGTGTATCAGCCACGAGTTCTCGGATAAATCAGACCGATAGAAGCAGGCGACTACGAGGTCACTTGGTCCCACCTTGTATATCATTTGTACTGCTGACCTACCTATAGACACTAATACCGTTATCACCACCTAGCAGACGATACCGCTTTTTTGTCGTTTAACTGGAATCTTATCCAAGCTACTTCCAACATCCAAGAACACCTCTAGCTTATCGAAAACTGGTGTAAAAACTGGAGGACAAAACTGAATGAAGTGACTCAGTGTTCGTTCACCTTGAAAAACCTTGCCCTACCTATACGGTACAAACAACAACAAATACCGACTTTCATTTAAGAGAACTACTTAAGACGTTACCTAGAAAACAGACGGACGTGGAATCCCCACACAAGACTTAAGTTTGAACAACTTAACAGAGGAATTGGACAACTGGAGACTTCTAGGACCGAAATCCGTCTTGGCAGTCAACAAAACTTTACTGCGACCACTTGGACTATTGGGTTCAGCCAAGCAATTCAACATCCAGCGAATCCAGTCTATCCAATAAAAAGCCCTCACAAAAATCGTAAAAACTTACTACAGCATTAATCTCACTATCCACAACGACTTCTACATTCTTTTGGTCAACAAACTGGTCCGTTCCCGATTCCAAAAGTTTCACACCAACATCTCCATCTATCCTCATCCTACTGCCCCTCGAAACCTCATTGTCCCTCTCACCCCATAATCCCTTACCCTGAGTGTTGTGTCCTGTGGGTGACGCGCATTAGTGTTAATCTATGACCGAATGAAAATTCTATTTACTTTCTCGACTACGTATATTTTTTAACTCAACGACCTCTGGCAGACTGATCTCAAGCTCCATGTTCGGAAAAGCATATTTTTATTTCCATAAAGCTGTTATTAATATTGTTTCATTTTCTCTATCCCACGAATCAGTGGATCTCGTAAAACAAGAAAAAAGCACGAAGTGGTAGAGAAATCTTGCGACCCAAAAGATTTAGAGTATTGCCTCTTGTATATATAAATCAGACTTTAAAAAAAGAAAAAGAAACATTCAATAATTTCTTTAAATTCCAGAAAAACTCGCTCCGTCTGTTTAATGAAATACCTTCCCACAACATTGTTTGGTATTCGGATATGCCGCTCGACTATCCATCACACAAAGCTCATTGCGTTGTACACGCCATAGCCGCGACATCGAGCTGAAGCACTACTGCCTGGTTTCTTCCTGGACTTATCTCAGACATTTGACCAGGGTATGGCACCGGGACTTGTGTGAAATTTCAAGGACCTAAAAAATCATACCTATAGACCGTCACTCCCAAATTGTCCAAAACACTTCTTACTCTTTCATTTATCCTATTCTCGCTGGTATCGCGCTGGGTGGCGTACTCGCTCCCATAATCTACACATACCCTTATTCCAAGGTGCTATCTTACTGTTCGTTAGTTCGATATTGCTCGAGTCGGCATGGAGCGGCGGGTGCTTTGTCAGAGGCACACATGGGTTAGGGTACGATATCCTGTCTGCATAGACGGGGGACGCTTAGACTACGCCGATGGGCCCCCGAATGCGTGAGTAGTGGCGGATGGAAATGAGTAGTGAATCGGTTGCTCCTATTCGAGTGCGCTTCGCACGCAGGTGTAGGTAATGTGCTCGATTGGCGGCTTTTACGATAGGCAGTCTCCTCTAGGGGATGGTTAGCAATTCTGCTTTAAACGAAACCGCGGCCGGAGCGGATCCGGAAGTTTCTACGCTGGGGAAGCCTCAATACTCTGCAAGATAGAGTGGCCTTCTCTATCTAGGGAGTGCGCGGGAGAACAGGCTGATGTATTTCGGCTTAGGTAGCCCTTTGCACGCGGCATACGGTCCGATGCTTAATACGGACCCGACCACTCGGAATGGGCAAGTGGGGAGCAAGGTTGTCTTGGCCCCTCGGGACTGAGCTGCCTCTACAACAACGATGCGGCAGTAACACTTCTGTCGTATGCGGAGGTGCGTCAGCTCTCATCTTGAGAATAAAAACGTCCGATAAGGCCGGAAAGCTAGGTGCGGACGTTAAAGATCCTCATTGTCCTTTTGAGAACAACCGAGTATACGGGAAAACGAAGTTCCATATTACCTCAAAACTTCAATATTTCCTATATCAAATTGCAGGCAAATGGCAGACATCGCAGCATTCCCTACTTTACCCATATTGCTCTTATTTGAAGATGCTATCTTACCGATCGTTACCACATGTACCACAAAACTGCAATATACCCTATATATCGAATTATTGACAGTGCAACTTTCTCGCTCCCCTGCTTTACTCACTTTATACATCCGAGCTACCCACATCACCCCTATCGTTGCGACGAATGGTAGTGACACCACAATCCTCTCTCAACTGAATGATCTCGTCCCAGCTTCTCACAATATACAAAATCACATGCTCCTACAATGGTAAATAAGTTCAATGAAACCAAATCCACATTCATTTTCAACAAAATCTATCTATCTATCCTTCTCGCTCGTCCCTCTGTCTCTGTCACTCCTCTCTCTCTCTCTCTCTCTCTCACTCTCTCTCTCTCTCTCTCTCTCTCTCTCTCTCTCTCTCTCTCTCTGTCTCTCTCTCTTTCTCTGTCTCTCTTTCTCTCTTTCTCTCTCCCTCTCTCTCTTTCTCACTCCTTCTGTCTCTCTCTATCTCTCTCCTTCTCTCTCTTTCTCTCTCTATCTCTCTCCTTCTCTCTCTCCTTCTTTCTCTCTCTCACTATCTCTCTTTCTTTCTCTATCTCTCTCCTTCTCTCTCTCTCTCTCTACTTTTTCTCTCTCACCTTCTTTCTCTCTCTCTCTCTCTCCTTCTTTCTCTCTCTCCTTATTTCTCTCTCTCCTTATTTCTCTCTCTTTCTCCTTCTTTCTCTCTCACCTTCTCTCTTTCTCTTTCTCTCCTTCTTTCTCTCTCTCCTTATTTCTCTCTCTTTCTCCTTCTTTCTCTCTCATCTTCTCTCTTTCTCTCTCTCTCTCCTTTTTCCTCTCTCTCTCCTTCTTACTTTCTCTCTCTCCCACCTTCCTTCTCTCTCTCTCACCTTCTTATACCTTATATCTTTTACCTCATTTTATCTCGGACACTACGTTACTGTCTTCATAAGTATGCCTTTCATCCTCTTCGACCTCGATATCTTTACTTATTCATCTGTTCCCGTCAAACCATCTTTTTTTTCTCGCCTGATTTTTTCCCTTCTCCGCTTTTTCCTTTCTTGTGAGCATACTTAACGATCCACAGTTGATATTCAATCTGTGAATTAATATTGTCGGATTTTAATCGACGGATGTCGTTGGCATTAATTATTAATCGTCCGATTTTGTTTTTTTCAGGTGAGGCGGAAGTGAGCTGCATGCCTGCCGAGGACGTCTTCCGCTGCGACGAGACCGTCTGCGTCGCCAAGACGGTCCGCTGCAACGGCATCCCCGACTGCCCGGGAGCCGAAGACGAGTCCGTCATGGAATGCGGTAAGGAAAAAAAACGGCGTCGCTGTCCGACCGTGACGCACGGCCGTCCGACAAAAGGGCCATCGATTTTCGCCGTGGGCGGTGGATAAATTTGGCGATCCACTCATGCACAACAACCGATTTGTGTCCATCATCGTTACGAATCGAATTAACAAGCCTTTCCCCCAACGCTTTAACCGAAAATATAAAAATTACACATTAATATTGTTTTATTCATTTATTGAGGGACATTTCTATCAATTATATTATTCTAATTTCCTCCTTTTTTTGTCTCTTTTTATATTAATATTATAATAGACAAGGTTACTTATTCAACACTTGGGAGAAGGCGAAATTTGTGACATTATTCAAATGCCATGCATCTCCAGGGAGAATATACGAGGCCGAATTGCAGAAAAACATCGAAGTCAGTATACAAAGGAGGCTGATCTAAAAGCCCGCGATGCTCCCTTGAAACAAAATAAAATTACTAAATTCAAAATTAAATTAAAACTTGCACGCGGTTCCAATTTTGACATTCACATCCTGAGGTGTTTCCTTAATATTTCAATTTCCAAGCACGGAAATACGCTGTTCCGATTTTTCACCACCCTCGTCTCATGTTTATTTATTAGAAATGAATAATTTCAACGCGCGTCTTCAATGATGTGTCGGAGAAATTGGTTCGTCAAGGGATGTGTTGACGCACGAGGACCCTTGTAATTAAACCTGGATCGGTGTAAAATTGTTTTCTGAATATCTTGATTATCTACTCGATTATCTAGGATTATAGTCCTGATGGGTGTGAAAGATAGTCAAATCGTCAAATAGGGCGGAGCTAAGGCACTTAGTTTATTGTATTATATCATTGGCATCAAAATTGCTGAGCCGTTGTCATATCGTCATGAAGTTTCTCTTGATCGGTCAATTCTTGTAATGACATAAAAGTGGATGGGGCTTAACCGGACCGTCTATTGTGAACGACGGATTGGTTCGTTTATTGATTAATCCAAGAAAAATGACATAAAGTTGGTGTGGATAAACTACGTTAAATCCGATTATCCAATGAGGTGGAAATCGAGTAAAACATACGTTTCGTCCACTGCATTCTATTATTCGATAGACGTCACTGCTAGACAGAAAATGAGCATTTGTAGTATTAACCTATGCCTTTAATATGCAGTTTGCTAGTTTTCAGACACTTTCCAAAGCGGAAAACCTCAAAAATTTAATGATACACAAACCCCAAAGGCCCTCTGGCTACAGGCCAATTAGTTGGTTGTACGCACTGTCCCAAGGGTAGGCGACGTGGAGACTGAATTTTACACCGAGTACAAGTGGGCGTGGCTAACTTGATTTATTGTCCAATTGCGCCAAGTGGGCGTGACTTAACTGGTGGTTTATGATCCAAAGGGTACAAATGGGCGTGGTTAACGTGTTTTATTGTCCAATAGCGCCAAATGGGCGTGTCTTAACTAGTAATTTAAGGTTCAATATACCATGTGGGTGTGACTTAACTAGTAGTTTATTGTCCAAGTAGGAATAGTGGGCGTGGCTAACTAGTCTTTTATTGTTCAATGACGGCAAGGGGGGGATGGATTTTTTAAAGGTTTATTTTAGTCAAATTTTTCAGCATAAATCTTTGTACGATTTCATAGATCGTTTGACTAGCATTTTACTATTAATTTGTTTCATTGCATTGAAATTCCAAATCTTTTTATACCCTTTGATGTGCATGGTGCGCATAATAATTGTTATATTTCTTTATGGGCAAAAATGTTTTATTGGGACATCGTTTTTTTTCTAACCCGGAGGGTAAACAGGATAAACGCCTCTCTTTTTTACCTAAGCCACTATGTCTCGACCTTGGAATCCCCGGCCCTCAGGGAATTCAGGTTCGCCCTGCAAATCGATCTCGTCAAATTAGATTGACAAGGCTGAAATTCAGTATTTCAATGGCATTTCACCACCGGTCGAGGAGTTCCGGCTGGCAAATTACCGACAAAAGAACTCCTCCCATGGGAGGGATTAAAAAACAACTTACTTAATTCAGCAAGGCTTGTATTTTTGTACCGACTGAGCCTATTTCAGAACCGAGCGAGGCCTAAGTGGTTTTTGATAAGCTAAAACCGGATATACAATTATATATATATAAATATATATGTATACCTATACCCTACCCCTTTCAGTCATCCTTTTTCCCCAACATCAGAAGTGAAATTTGGACAGGAAAGTGCCAATCGCTTGATGGAGAACTTTCTCTAAAATTTACAGCCGAAGAACAAGTTAGATTTTCCTTCATTTCAACCTGAACTCGGCGGAATTGTAAAAATGTTGATGCGACCGCAATAATTTTGACCATCCACGGACCAGATGGTGAGATCAGAGGAAGTAGGCTGATTCAATCGTTAGCCAGGGCCCTAAAAGGCAGCGCAGCCAATTGGATGTCGCAGATTGCTCATCCGGAATTGACTTTGGTTCCTCATAACGGAGTATGCATCATTCGCTGCCAAATGGATAAATAATCTAACGTCTTCATGGAGCGATTTAACATCTGAACAAATCGCTATAAATTTGGTTGGAGCACACTTGGCCCATACGACTCTCGCATTAGGCGTCTTATCTACAAATCAATCGTATCGTGGGAAGAGTTGCTCAAAGAGCTCAGAGCGATTAGCTTTAAACGACAGAGAATCAAAGGATGGCGTTTAAATGCGCAACCTGTGGGTTGAGTAACGACAGTTCCAAGGATTGCCGGAGGAAGCTTTCCTATGTCAATTCCCGTCCGTACAGAACCGCCCGACCAAACTACAGGACAGATCGAGAATCATCTGCCACCACTGTACTGACCTAGGCCACATCACTACTAACTGCAGGGGTAACACCTTCAGACCAGGAACATCGGGGACGGTGCAGTAATGCACACTTAAATCGACAGGACTCCTCGTTCATACAGGTCAAACTAGACTTTATCTTTCTATTTGATTCAGGGGCGGAATGCTCACTTTTAGGTTTTAGTTTGTTTAAGCAATTTTCTAGTGAAACCCCCTGGCACTGGTCCTGGACTGGCTAGCCTAGAAGGGTAGCTATGACCTCACGTCTACGAGGGTAGCTATGACGTCACTTGTTCTAGAAGCTAAAACCCCCAGGGTCAGTTGAATACGAGAGTCGAGTTGAGAGACCTCCTACATCGTTAATTGTGTTGACTAAAATATAACAACATCAAGAAATAGTTATTTTTTAGATGATGGCGAATACTCACCTACTCCTTTCGGTCTCCTTATTCCCCAACACTATAAAAAACAATTTAAACCGTGAAATAACTTCCGATATGAAAGACATTGTCGATTTTCTGAACTTTACGGACTTTATTTTACTACTGCAGGGGTTGGTAGTAGTTTTAAACTTCACCCTCCCTCGGGGTAAGAGATTAACACAAAAAGGTGTCGAGGCAGAAAGTCCTGCAACGGTCTGAGCTGTTTTTGCGCTTCAGGAACTTCTTGGTACAGCACGACTGAATAACTCAATAAAAGTAATAAAAGTGAAAGGTGCAATTTTCTAAATACAGCAAAACAACGATATACTACATGAAATGCGTCTGAATTAAGAAAAAGCGAAAAATCAAATACAACCTAGACGATACGTAACTATTAAACAACAAACATTAATTCCTTCAGTTTCCATTTACCCGATCTGTTCAATCAAGATCCTAAGACTTCTTAATGTTTAACTGACTATAAATTTTAATTATCTGCTAATTTCTTTCAGCACAGACCGTATTTTCCACCCCCGTCCAAAAAAGTTTTACACAACCCCAAGGGAAAGTGTCACCCGAATCCCCCGATAGGGATGAAGTTAGATGTTCTAATGAAATCGTGTCAAAAAAAATGGGTGGAAAGTTATGGAAGGGAATTGAATGGACTGGGAAGGGTGAGGACATCTTAAGCCTGGTCCCTCATCCCTTTTCCTCCCCTTTCTCCAGCTATTATCATAAATGGGCGACTTTTATTTACAATTTGCAATAATTTGTCTAGGTTCACACCGTTATTTCTCTCTTTACAACCATCGCATACCAAAGAATCAACTTTTACAACTGAACGATATCGATTGCTTGATTGGTAAAAGTTGTGAAACTTTTCCCATTGTTTCTTCCTAATAGCTTCCACGCGTGTACATATAATTTCAATTTGGTAGTTTTTGTACCATTCTATATTGAATCCACTACATAATATGCTTTCTCTTTTAAATTGTTTGGATAAAACATATTGTAACATATGTAAACATATGAATTAACTTAATGGGTAATTATTTCAGGGTTTTGTTTAAATCGACGGGTCAAGAAAAATTTTTTGGTCTATTTTCAAATACTGCCAAAGTGGTGGCGGTTTATCGGTAGGTTGTAATTCAGCTGTTCGATGACGTTCATGTAGAAATGTCTCAGGTGGTTGGTCAGATGTTACACATCAGGCCTGTTTACTCAATTTTCGTCAATGACGTCAAAGTGGGCTTGGCATACCAAATAGAGTCAAACTGTTCTAGGGTGACGTGGTAATTCAAGATAAATGACGTGGAAGTAGAAGTGGATAACCTAGTCAGCCCAACAAACCTCCCTGACTTTGACGTCACGGAACGATTTGACTTAACACTTAACCTAAGCCTACTTTGACATCCGAAAATGAACCGTAAATGAATCCACAGTGCAACGTTGGTTTCAAGGATCCCGTAATGGAGATTTGACCTCACGAGCAAAGAAGGTGGTTTTCTTGGACTGCCGTCCTTCTGCTGTTAACAACGCAGTGGAAGCGTGCTGGGCCCTTAACCCAGAGGTCAGTGGATCGGAACCATGCTCTGCTATCAATGTTGATAAAGCTACGACACTTCCAAAACGTGGCGATAGGACCGGAATCGAAAGTGGGCCAATAAATTAAAAGGAAAGGATACGGGAACGGAAAAAGAAAACAAATAAAAGGACACTTGGACACTTGTTGAAACCAAATTAACTGAAAACATAAAATATATTT